CCCAGGATGTTCCAGGCGTTCCTGAAGTAGACGCGGCCCCAGACGAACACCTTGAGCGCGAACTCCATCAGGTAGATGGAGAGGAAGCTGGCGTCCATGGCGGAGAAGAACCAGCCTGGACAGGGAGCAGGGGGGGGTGAGCAGGGTGATCGGACTGGACCGGGCCGGGCCGCGCCGCAGAACCGGCCTCCTACCTCCGCGCACGGCCACGCTGTCGAAGGTCTGGGCCACCAGCGCGCCCGTGTTCAGCACCACGACGGCCAGCAGGAAGTTGTCGAGGGGGCGCGACTCGGTGAAGGCGAAGACGATCTGGTAGAGCAGGCGGCACCGGTCCAGCAGCGCGCCCCAGGCCCGGCCCAGGCAGCTGCGCCGGGCCTGCAGGGCCCTCTGCCTCCTGTCCCTCTCTGACCGGACCGGACCGGACCGGGGGGGAGGAGGAGAGAGAGTGATCGTCCTGCTCGGACCGTCCTGCACACCAGAGTCACTGAACCGCTGGGGGTCTCTGGGGGTTTCTGGGGGCCCTTCTGGGCTCAGTGTCGGAGCTGATGTAATTGTTTAATTAGCTGCAGGGTCGTTAACATGACAGCCAGAGGCCGCCAGCAAGTTCTTGTCTCAGGCTCAAACTGTTTACGATTTAAAAACATTTTAAAAGTGAAAATATCCCCTTCCTGAATTTGAATATAAAACCAAGAGCAGGAGGCACTTCTTTACACAAAGGGCAGTGGGAGTGTGGAACAAGCTGCCCAGCCATGCTGTTGAAGCCGATACCCTGGCTTCTCTCTAGAAACTCCTGGGTGAGATCCTCCAGTCGGGACAGGAGCAACTACTCTACGCTAAGAGAGGTGGGAGAGTGGAACAAGCAGCCCAGTCATGTTGTTGAAGCCGATACCCTGGCTTCTCTCTAACAGTACCTGTTAGACAGGAAGAGCTGCTGTATGACGGTATCGGGTCAGCTGGCCCGGCCCGACCGGAGCGGCGCTGACGCCCTGTTACCTGAGCTGCGGATGAGCTGCTGTATGACGGCTTCGGGCACCTCGCAGGTGGAGAAGATCCTCTCCCGGGCTTGGCGGCGCCCCCCTGGGGAGGCGACTGGAAGGACAGGGAGGTGGTGGCGCTCCGTGTCCCGCAGGCTTGCTGCAGAGGGAAAGGGAAAGGGGATCAGGGATCGAGGATAATAGACCGGGAATTGGGGATCAGGGATGGGGATGATAGATCAGGAATCGGGGATCAGGGATGGGAGAAGTAGATTGGTGTTTGGGGATTAGGAATTGGGGTTTGGGGATAATAGACCAGGAATCAGGGATTGGGGAACGGGAGGTGGGGATTGGGATTGGGAATACTGGCAGAGCTCTCTTGCTGCGAAGGCACAGTGGGTCTCGAACCCGTGGCTTTTACAACAGTCACCCTCCTCTTTTAGCGCTTAGCCAGGGCCCAGGCTGTGTCTCTGAATCCGGACCCCCCTCCTGTCGGGAAGGCCGGGGCAGAATCCCGAGGGAACAGGGCTGGGAACCAGCAGTTGCTCCGGTCCTCGGTTTGGGAAACACCGGGGCTGCAGAACCGGTCTGGACCGGCCCTGCTGGGCTGCAGTGCGGTCCTGCCGGTGTGGGAGCTGAGCGCAGCTCCGGGGGGTGGGGCTACCGAACCCAGCGGGTGTGGGGACGTCCCCAGGACCAGGCGGGAGAACCCCCTGGGAACGCTGTCGGAGGAGAAACGGAGTGACCTGTCAGACCTTTCACCTGCTGATGGTACTGAAGGTCGTTTACAGCTGCCCCGAGGTAAGAGGTCCAGGTACCACACCTTCGGCCCGGTTCAGGTACCCAGAATTGTGCAGCTACTTAAATAATGAGATCATTCCGTCATGTGACTGAGGGCTCTGCCACCTCGGGGCCCGAGCGCTGGGGGCTATCCAGGCTTGGTCCTGTGGGGGGCGCTGTGTGTGCAGTTTTCCCAGGTCTCCTGGGGTGAGCTGGGGTGATCGCTTGCAGACCCACACCGACCCCTCCAGGACCAGGACCAGGAGCAGGACCAGGGCCCGGGTCGGCCCGGCCCCGGCGGGAGGTGAGCACGGGCGCTTGCCTAAGTTCGGCTGGCGCTGCCGGGGGTGCAGCGTCTGGCCGGAGGGCCTCTCCTGGACGGCGGTCCCGCCGCGGCGTTCCCCGGGAGCTACCGGGAGGTCCATCCGTGCCTTTCCAGCGCAGTCCGAGGTGAGTCGTGTCTGGGATGCAGAGGGCGCCCGGAGAGCGGCCAGACTCGGCACTCGGGCCTGCTGCCTGTCGGAAGATCCCTGCGGACAGCAGGCTGGGACAGACTGGCAGAGAGATGATGGTGTCTAGACCTCTGTGCCTGAACAGACACGATCTCCCTGAACGGCTGTGATACAATTTATTGCGATATATATTACAATATTTTCTAAATGATGTTATTGCATACTCACACAACTGTTGGTCCTATTGCCAATAGATCTGCAATTACCATCACCACCACCACTGCTGCAGTTTCTAATATTCCTACCACCAGTAAATAATAAATAAGTTGGAATGGCCTGATTCTACTGGCAGAAAGGACTGCAGTCTCTGGAGAGTGTGACCTGAGCAACGCCCTCCCTCTGCCTTTGCCCACTGCAGTGCAGCCTCTGTGACGTCACCGTGACCTCACCGTGATGTCACAACGGGAGGCGGGCGGACCGGAGTTGCATCACAGCTCGCCTCTGGCCACCAGGGGGCGATCTTGACAGACGGGCCGGGCCCCCAGGGGAGGGGGGGGGGAGGAGGGCTGTACGTCTGTTAACCCTGCACGCCTGACGCTACTGGGCGCGCTTGGCTTTCTGAGCTGCTGCGTTCTGAAGGAGTTCTTCTGCAGGCTGAGTGCCGTGTTTCCAAGGGCTGTGGCCTGATTCCTGCACAGGGGAGTCCTGAAGCTCGCCCAGGGCCATGCTG